AGTAGTAGTAGTGTGTGTGTGTGTGTGTGTGTGTGTGTGTGTGTGTGTGTGTGTGTGTGTGTGTGTGTGTGTGTGTGAGTGTGTGTGTGTGTGTGTGTGTGTGTGTGTGTGTGTGTGTGTGTGTGTGTGTGTAATGCCAGTGACTGAATCCTGTGTGTGTGTGTGTGTGTCCACCAGAGTCGCCCCTGGCGTGTTTCTGAATTTGCTGGGGCGAGGGTTCCGCGACGCGGTCGCCAGGGCATTGTCTTTTCTGTCACGGCCGTTGTCGTCCTCGTCTCTCCATTCGCGGTGGTGTAGCTGACCCCCGAATGGTTTCAAACTGCGAAGCTCGGAGTACAGTGGTGGCAGAGGCATGAGCTGTGAGTAGAGACAGTTACTGGAGATGGATGGTGATGCAGGGCGAAGAGTTACGCTGCCTGACGACGCGTGGGAAATTGTTTGATCCTGCAATTTCAGTTCGAGCGCGGTGGACTTCTAGACGATGAGTCATGGCTGTTTTTCAACGCTTGGCCTATCGCTGATATCCCTGCGTGGGATGTTCTTCCAGTGGAGTCCAGGTGGGACTTCGGGTGCCCACACTCCATCACCTGGTTGATTGTTTCGGAACTGCAATAATACAGGTTCAAATAATTATTGTTTCCTTTTTGTGCGTATCTCTTGTCATCTCTCTTTTCTATACGTCGCACACCAGATGTACTACTATCACTGTCTTTCTCCTGCTATCTCTCTCTGCTTGCTGTTTTTTGTTTCTGTTGCCACTGTCCCTCATCGTACCCATGCTTGGATGGAGGGCGGCGTGACCCGTTAGGGTAGCTAGCTGTCAATACAGTACAGTACAGTGTGTGTGTGTGGGGGGGGGGGGGGGGGGTGTCTCATACGGTGCAGTGGTATGTGCAGCGATTTCCAATCGATAGGTTGCGGGTTCGATTCCCGGCGATTATGGTCACACACGGTGGGTGGTTACCGACAGCCAGTGCATGCCGGAGTATGTGGTGTGATGTGTGTGCGGAAAAAAAAATGAAAAGACCAAAAATAGGGATCCACTGGCCAGAAAAAGTCACTTCAAATAGCTGTATGGTGTAGACCAGGCTGGATAGTGACGGTCAATTCTTCAGCCTTGCAAGCTGTTGAATGGTGCAATCCCAGCACAAGTTGCTATGGCTTCTGCCGTAGCATTGCAATCATCGCCTCCGGCGATGGGCGTCAAAGGTGTGTGTGTGTGTGTATGTGTGTGTGTGTGTGGGTATTCCTGCAGTCAATGTTTCCAATTGGAAAAGCTGAAGCAGCTGACAAGTGTAGCAAGCAGCCTGACATTGAACGATGAGGAGGTGAAAATCATCTCAGCACCGATTGAGGAGAAGCATCTACAGCTGAGAGAAGGATGTAAGTACATGTATGCTTACCACTATAGAGTGCATAGCCAAGAGTGTGCAACTCGACGATCCCCCAGCCCATGGCGGATTTTTTATGACATCAGTCTTTGGTGGCTGTTTGGCTCATTGACGCCATCATGCATAGCCAGAGAGTACAACAAATGTGCACATCACAGCTACGGTAGTCGAAGCAGAACAACGGACGGTAGATCGATTTGTCCTGAACCTGATGAACTCTCACCGTATCTACAAAACAAGCGCGGAAAGAACACGCACGTTATCATACTTCTGCCAAAGAATGATGCAATAAAAGAATTCCGCCATTGGTGAACCCATCACAGCCCATCACAGCTCTTCGAGATAGGAGTTGCACACTGTTGGTCATGTACTCTTGCCACTATGGATTTGTGTTGTGTCCTTGCCTCGTCTGATATGCATGTACTGGCAGACCATAAAAAGTACTGGCAAGGGGAATACTTGCAAGCGATACATCTCTACTTCCATGTTTTGTAAGTAACGTTAGCAGGCAAGTGCCCACCACGGCTTTAAAACAACTTCCTCTGTCTGCTAGTCTAAATTATTACAGGTGGAATCCTGAGAACTCGAACACCAAAATGCCGGGGGAAACTTCTAATTATCCGGACATTCTAATTATCCAAACATGTACCCACAACACATAATGTATGTCAAAATGCTCGCATTGACACGCAGAATTGCACTACGCACCTTAGACACAGACTTAGTGGACACTGAACTGCCTGCGCATGCAAACCGAACTGATTTGCAGAAAATAAAGCAAACTTCTAATTAGGGTTTGCTAACTTCGAATTATCAGCACAAATCCCACACATTTTCTATGTAAGTGGATTCCGTGGGACTTCTAGTTAACCGGACATACCGTAAAGTACCGTTGATCCGTCCCCACGCCATGTCGCTTCCCAGCTGGGTTTTCGGCAGGGGGCGGGAATTAGATCAAGGCTGTCAAGTGCAGTACGATGTACAACAACGTAGAGGATCAGACTCAATGTGCTGAATTGTGCACATTTTGATCCTGGATTGGCAAGTATTGTGTACAGCAGTGCATGCGTCGGTTCAACATCGTATTTCGTATACGGCGAAGTCGCTTCACAAGGAGAAAATCGACAGGGGGCGGGAATTAGAGAGGGGGCGGATCAACGGTACTTTACGGTACTCGTGCAAATCTGTCATGCATTCTTGTAGGCCAGCAAGTGCGCAGGGAAATGCTTGCCTCTGTCTGTACTACCGTAAAGTACCGTTGGCCCACCCCCGTGTCGCTTCCTAGCTGGTTTTTCGGCAGGGGGGGGGGATTAGATCGAGTCGTTTGAGTGCAGTACGATGTACACCAAAGCAGAAGATCAGACCTGGCATGCTTGACTGTGCACATTTTCATCCTCCCCTCACATATATTGCGTACAGCAGTACATGAGTCGGCTCAACATCGTATTTCGTTGTGTACGCCGATGTCGCTTCACAGGCAGAAATTCGACAGGGGGTGGTCTGCCAACTGGCTTTTTACTTGTGAATGCGACAGCAAAGATGGCCTTGGGTGAGTCACCGGAACATCAAAAAAGGCATTATGCTGCCGCAACCAGAATCCACAAGCCCAGACATCCACAAGAGCGCCATCAAGAGTAAATAATCTCCTAAGAGTGTGCAACTCTCGACGGCGAAAACTCACATCATGTGTCTCAGGTACGTTTTGTACTACGCGGACAACTAAGGATAGCGTGCGTGCGTGCAATCCGAATATCTGCTGGCGGGTTGTATACGCGCAGTGAGTTTCTGCCATGGAGTGCTTTTATTATTACTCCGCTGCTCGCTAAAAATGGGTTGGAAACGTACAACTGGGACGCTGCGCCACGTGATGTGAGTTTTCACCGTCGTCGTACCCCATAGAAAGGGTATCAGGAGTTGCACACTCTTGGGGGGTTATATATACTCTTGGTAACAATATGCTTCAACTCAATCTTTGATATACGCATACCGGCTACTGCACAGCACACCAGACGTGACTTGTTTCTTTGTGACGACGAAAGGGTTATATATACTCTTGGTAACAATATGCTTCAACTCAATCTTTGATATACGCATACCGGCTACTGCACAGCACACCAGACGTGACTTGTTTCTTTGTGACGACGAAGATACATGTCGCACGTCAAGCACGACGTCGCCATGCGTACTTCGGGACAATTCTAAAATATTAGACGCCTTCGCTTGAAGTTTCGACTGACTTCCTGTCGCCTCAGAAGAAAACGAAGTTTACTTTATCAGCAACCTCAAAACTACAAAGCAAGGCAAAGAACCTTTTGGTGACACAGTTCCCTTTTTAAGAGTGCTCTGTGTGAAACACAGCGAGTGATTGTCTCTGCAAACATGTGTGCGGTGCGTACCGATAAATGTACTAGTATGTTTTCTGTGTATGTGAATGTGTGTGTGTGTGTGTGTGTGTGTGTGTGTGTGTGTGTGTGTATGTGTATGTGTGTGTGTGTGTGTGTGTGTGTGTGTGTGTGTGTGTGTGTGTGTGTGTGTGTGTGTGTGTGTGTGTGTGTGTGTGTGTGTGTGTGTGTGTGTGTGAATGTGTGCGGGTGTCCATGTATATGTATGTTCTTATGATCCAGCAATGCTTTACATATCGACGGTTCACTATCGTGTGCGGCTAAACAAGGCTCTCGGAATTGGTGGTTGGGCGCTGATCCCCATGGGCGATGCGGTATGTTTTTCTTTTCTTTTTTTACTAAGGAGAAGCCACTTTTACGGGCAGAAAACGGATACCGGTATGAGCACACAAGTACGGGGTTCGAGGTACTAAAATGAGACTGGAGTACTCTTAGAACTGATAAAATTGATGTTAATACGAACAAGGGCTGTACATAATGAGAAGGATATAGTTACCTAACTAAGTCAAGAACTGACCATTACATGCTGCATTCTGCCACTGCTAACGTGACCATTACATGCTGCATTCTGCCACTGCTAACGTGATCGAAGGGCAGCCATTGATTCTTGACGCTTTGTGCCGATGGCCTCTCAGGGCTGTGACTGCGGCATTGACCAGTGCAAAAGACAGCCGGGTTCGGATGTATGCCATGGCGATAGAGACAGGCTCGGACCTCTTATCGGCCAACATGGATGCAATCCGAGCGTAGAGAATGCCGGCTGCCTTGCCATGACCACCTGTGGTGCTGAGCACGACCGGGATGAATGATCCATGCTCTACCTCAACGACTCTTCTCTCATAGCTTCTTCTCTTTTCCTTTTCGTGCTTGCGGTATACTAGCGGGATTGATGGCTTCTGGTTTGAGGGGGCAAATGGGTTTAAAACCCGGACATCAAGGAATGTCCTCTCAAACCGTCCACCATACAATCCACTGACTGCGACATTAAGGTGCGCGTTGTCGTCGGTGATGGTAGATCTCAAGGGGAAGTGTTCCCCCGAGAGAGGCTGGAGATGGGGCTCGACAGCAACATCATGGGCAACTTCCCGGAGAAGGTGGGCTGTGATATCCCGAATCTCATTGTGGCGGAGCGAGGGGTAGCCGCCCAGCGAGCAGGACAGGGCATGGGTGGTCGTGAACGACTTTCCACACGCACACTTTGTCAGGAGATGATCCAGCGTCCAGCCATATCGGAGGCATAAGGAGTCTCGAAACGCCCCCTTGTGCAACTTGAAGCCAAAAACTGCAAGTGGCTTGGATGTTAGCCAGCTTGAGGCACCCTTCTCTGACGCGAGGTTCACGGCATACTGGATGTCTGGGTCCAGTTGCTGAAGCAGTGCAGCCACCTGCTTATTGGCCAGTTGCGTTGACTCCTTTCGGACCTCTGATTTCAAGAGCTGCATAGCCACTCGAACTCCGTCGTTGTTGGACTCCTGTCTGAGGATCGTGTCGACAAGAGTTTGCGTGATGATGCTGGACTGACGGAATCGGTCCCCAAGATGAGTGGGGTTGATGAGACCCAATCCACCTAGTGTGCAGGGCAATGACAGTACGGCCCTGGTTTGGTCACCAGGCGGACACCGGCCGGTAAGCGCAGGGATGAGCTGAAGACGTACGGCGTCCTTAATGGGCTCGAACAGCGGACCTGTCGCCGGGATGGTGCGAGCGACAAATGACCATTCGTGATTAACACCATTGCAGAAGGCCGTGTATGCCGCTTGTGGGTGACTGAGGGCGTACTGGGAGAGCACACTGATCGCGTGACTCCATTTCTGAACCTTGGTTGACACGTAGGTTTTGCAGAACTCCTCAGTACCAAGGACTGCGCCAAGATGACGAAACTCATCAGTGCGTATTTGGACCTCCGTGTCGGAGAACAGCTTCCTCGTCTCAGCCTCATGCTGTGGCTTCACAAGAAGAACGGATTTCTTCGCGTTTGTGAAGTACCCGTACAATGGACCACCACTTCCTCAGGCGCTTAATGGTTTTTGCGGCGGCAGAGTCATCTGCATACCAGGACTGCAGAGCTTCAGCCAGGGAGGCCTCACGGATGAGGAGGACCGTACATGACCGTACATGGGCATTGCGAGCGGGTCACCTTGGGTTGTCCCCTCACACGAGAGGATGGTCTCACCATTGCTGAAGAGCCTGACAGGGCTGCGGTAGGTATTGACGAGTGCCGGTGCCAGAGGTGGACAGAGACGTTGGACATTTTGCAGGCATACTGATCGATTGAGACGATTGAAGGCATTTGATGCATCCGCAAACAGAGCCCCTTCTGTGGAATCCTCACTGAATGCATTGTGCATGGCATGAATGGCTGCCTCAATGCCCGACTCTTGGCCACCACAGAGTTGAAGACATCCAACGGCATCCTCTATGTGGGCTTTGGAAATCTTCAGGATTGCCTTACTGACGATGTGCCGTACCACCTCACCGATACTGATGGGCCGGACACCTGGGTCCTTGTCCAGGGGTATAAGGCGGCATGCAACAAATGACTAGTGTGGCAAGTCTCCGGGCGCAAGAAGCCAAGGCATCACACAGACTGTCAGATGCAGCCTTAAACGAGGTGCAGATGTAACGCCAGTCTGCCGCATCCATACCAGATGGACCTGCAGCGCCCTGAGTATTGAGGGCGGCCTGTCGGATGACGTCTCGATTGAGGGCAGCAAAGTATGTGTCGTGGTGGGGCTGAGGGACATCTCCCGGTAGAACAGCCTCAGGGTGGAGAGATTCGGCTGGTGGGTGTTTCTCCTTGAGTGTATCTCGCACGGACTTGCCCTATATCACGTCATCCAGGGATAGGACACCTTTGGCTTGGTCCTCTGACAGCATGCGCAGGCCCGACTGGAGCTTCCCTTCGTGAATGTGAGCGGCAAAATGTCTGGCAAAATGTCTGGCATCATCCTGTGTGTCTGCGTTGCTGACTTTTGCCTGCTTTTTGCTGGAATTGCCGCTGGATGGTCCGAGCTTCAAGCATACGCTCGTTCACGTTGCCTTCTGCCCACAGGCAAGACGATGTTGTAGGCGGTCCCTGTAGACTTTGTGGTCGTGGCATTGGAACGGCTGTTGCAGAAGGAGCTGTGTGGCGACCATTGCAGTCTTAATTGCAACACCCTCTCCTGCCCCCCTCTCACCGAAGCATTGGTAGAGTGTCGCCATTATCGATACAAACTTTGAGCCTATCGCTCCCTGAGGCACTCGGAACAGATTCGGCTTGAAATGGACTATCTCTTCATATGCTGCAGAGATAATCTGTGCTGTGGATTCAGCATCGTGGGTTCCCAGTTGTAACTTGCAGCTGCTGCGTGTGTACAGAGGGAGTGACAGCTGGGGCTCCTCGTCGCCTTCCACTGCAGCATCACTTTCCTGCGAGTACGAGCCCGCGAGGTCGGCCAGTAACTCAACTGCCTCAGCGGTGGCGGGCATGCCTGCAGTAGATTCATCTTGCAGCAGCGTGGTCGCAGGCGAGGAATGGACTGTGTCACGGTCGTCCGCACTAGCAGTGTCGTCTATTTGTAGCTGTCGGTCTAGCAGATCCCATGCCAGCTGCTGAGACTGAGGGCTGACATCAGCTCCTGTACCCATGACTGCTGCTGGCCCCATGCCCAGCCGCCGTTACCGTATTGCCCGTACCCTGCGAGGGTGGTTTGCTCGCCGAGGCTGCTCTGTGGTCGATTGCTCTGTTGTCGGAGCTCGTCCTGCTTGAGGATGACGGTTGGGATGTCGAGGGGCTGCTGTTTCGGCATCTGCTCTTTTTTTCAGGGAGACAATTCCGACACTCACGCCCCTCCTTCTTGCAGTCACACCGAACGCAGGTGCCGTTGCCGTTGCACCGGCAACAAATGGCACTCTGCATCAGTGGGCTTGCGGGAGAGGCACGCTGAAGCTGGACAATCCACAGAAACCTACAGAGCTCGAAAACGCGTACCGTCCACAGTACGTTCAGGAAAAAAATAGGTGGTATGTTTTTTCGTATTGTATCATATTTGCTGGGGATACCATAAAATCCCGCCAGAGTGCCCCGTCTCTCCCATGCGCCCCTCCCTGATTTCTTGTCAGGGAAGTGATTGATTGTATCCTCGTATGACTCTGTGATGCCGTACTGTACTGCAGACGCATGCTCGACCCTGTTGGAAATGTACGCAACACTGCCCACCCTCTTGACCAGGGATCGTACAAACCCCGAGTTTTGATGGGTCTGCACGACTCCCTGCACTTGACCTTTGGTCGGTGTACGAGATGCACACACACGTTCCGTAGGGTGAGTACTTTTTCATGTAGTACTGAATGCTGCAAATAGGACTCGCCCATCCGCCCCTCCCCGCCTGGACCTACTCGAAGGGTGGCGGAGGTAGGGGCGCTCTGGCGGGATTTATGGTACCACAGTGCTGCTCAATGCTATGGTACTACAATGCTGCTCAATGCTATGGTACTACAATGCTGCTCAATGCTATGGTACTACAATGCTGCTCAATGCTATGGTACTACAATGCTGCTCAATGCTATGGTACTACAGTGCTGCTCAATGCTATGGTACTACAATGCTGCTCAATGCTATGGTACTACAATGCTGCTCAATGATATGGTACTACAATGCTGCTCAATGCTATGGTACTACAATGCTGCTCAATGCTATGGTACTACAATGCTGCTCAATGCTATGGTACTACAATGCTGCTCAATGCTATGGTACTACAATGCTGCTCAATGATATGGTACTACAATGCTGCTCAATGCTATGGTACTACAATGCTGCTCAATGATATGAGCCAGGGACTACAGAAACCACCCTATGGCACTTTTTGGCGAAAAATTTTTTTTCTCTCAAAATGTTGGTATGGTATGGTAATGTGCTCAAACAAAATTTCGAGTTGATCTGCGGTGGTAAAATGTGCCTAATCACCTATTTAATAATGGCATATCAATTAAGCGATATAGAGCAAATTTATGCACACAGTTTTGTAATGTTCTTTGTATATCTTCATTCTTGCTAGTTAGGCAGTTCAAATGTATAGTGAACTATGCCCTCAGCTTCATCCAGTGACGCCTGCGCGCCGTCCACTAAATCTCGGTAGTACTGCCGCTCCTCTTGTGGTAGTGATATGTGCGAACGCAGGGCCTGGACACTACATTCCGTCTCTTCCTCTGTACGGGCGACACGAATTTTGTCCCGCAGAGTGTCACACAGTGCGCATACGTCTGTCCTTGGCTTCATCACTTTGATGTGTGCTGCCTGTCTCCTCCAAATGTGGCAAAATGACCTGTAATG